TATAATTTCTAGAAAACCTACTGTTACGTCCTTGATCTGCCTACCCGCCAACATGCAGAAGATAGTTTGTCTCAATCTAACTTGAGTCCTTGACAAGATAGTTAATTGGTTTAACCTTGTGGTTAGTATGAGTAAGTTAGAAGTGAGACTAGCCGCTTGGGGTGAAGAGTGGATACGATTCCATCACCTGACTGGTTGACAAGAGGAGGCGAGTTAACTGACACGCTAAACAATTTATTTTCGATTTCGACTGACACATCGGTTTTGTTCCGATTCAGCTCAGTGCAATAAGATAAATGAATAAATAGATGAATAACAAGACTCAAATGCACAAACAATTAGGAAAATACGATTATGTACAAGAATTGGGATGAGGGTAGAAAATAGAATACAAAAGATCATGTTTAAATTACAATGGCTTTGGAACACAAAGGGGTACGGAATTGGATCATACATCAAACGTCATCTCAATGTCTGCAGAGTAAACTAGGGTCAAAAGTAAATATTAATGTCTTCAAAGCTTTGAATAAAATTAAATAACGTCCAGAAAAATGGCCCTCGTCTTTGTCAAGGCTTCTTGTTTCTCTGTTCACATCACTTACCATTCTTATTTTGGTACCAGTAACAGTCAGAATTATCTGTTTCATGTGGTCTTGAGACAGACCTTTATCCTGACAAGCTTCTTTGAGGCGTTTGAGAGAGTCTACGCTTATAACGGACATAAAGATAACGAGTGAGAACACGACAGATGTCCGTATCTTCATGTTGTGGTGTTTGAGGCTTTTACTGACAGAATAAACCTCAGAGTTGGGGTTATGATGATCTCTAGCATTCAATCGGCAGATGCAGCCAGTTTATCACAGTGTTATTTTGAAATGAGACAAGGACTAACTGGGCGTTTTGGAGAGGCTTAAACAAGAAGAGCTGCTTGGACAGGCTCTTGCCGAAGGTCCGTTGACCAATGACCTCTCCCATATAATGCAACATTTCTGTTGCTGAGCCATGTTGCAGGTCCATGTTATGAAAGAGTTGGTCTAACGTTTGTCGGTCGGTTCGGTCTCAACGTTTAAGTTTGGCTTTCTTCAGAATGCTGTAGGGTTCCAAAGCATCACTAGCGCACATACTAGATGTGACGTACCCGTTGAGATCATGTGATAATGCCTTCATCACTGCGAGGAATTGTGCACATTCCCGTGGAAGCTAGCCTCTGCGTAGCACAATCAGGATTCTATATTGCCGGGTCAGAGTAGCATTAGTTGAAAGGTGAAATTCGAATGAGCCTTAATCTTAGATAGCTGACGTGTCTGCTTTCTCATGAAAAAGATAAGATATACCAATGAACAAGAAAATGATGTCCGGAAATATAAAATTCATCACAATATGTGAAACTAAAAATTAGAATTATAATATATAATGTTTAAAAACGAACAGACACTCAGTTTATTGCTTGGTGTACCAGATCACTTCAGTTTGCTTTGATGATTACCTTGAAGAAGTCCAGAAAGGCTGACTGAACAAAATGTTGGAGTTATATGAATTTCAATCTCTGAGATTATTTCAAATATGATTTTCGCTTAACATTCGTACAAATGTTGTTCATTAAGATTTCAGAGGAAAAAAACAGTTTGTCAAACTGCATCACTTTTATTTATTATGCAACAATGAATTGAAAATTGATGACAACAAGCTGAGAAATAGTTAGTCCATGTTAGTTTTCATTAATCTTGTGAATAGTTTCATTGTTTACATCTGGTGTTTGTTCCATCGTCGTATGGTCTTCCTTTACTAGCCCTAAAAGTATCACAAACAATAACAAATCATTTGGAACTACGGCAGATGGAAAAAACTTTTAATAAATTGTAGTTGAGTCAATTATTTTGAATGCAGTTAGCTACAATAAATAATTTTGGTTATGTATAAGTTTGAGCAATTCGAAAAATCAACGTGACTACGAAAACAAGATGGAAACGTAGAAATAAGTATGCCCAAACAAACAATAATTTACATTGTTCCTATTACTTATTGACATCATTCGAATCGTGGTTTTGTGGTCTAGGTACTTAAAGTCTTAGTATCGATTTCGTGTGGAATCAATGAAGGACACCTCAGGTAATTAAAAAGTGATGACGAAACAGTTATCCAATGCTCCCTACTGCTCAAAGATTTCAAGTTGATCTCAGTCGATGATAGTGACTGGTTACAAATACAACAACATCAGCAGAACCTGTAGCAACACAGCATAAGGAGATAGTCTGTGATATTCGAAAACAGGTATATAATAAAATAAAAGGTGTCAAAACTTTACTCGAAAGTTATTCTCATTCCAATTCGCTGTAATTTCCTCTGTAACATCTCTAACCAATGAACATAGCTTCAGCCTTTGACTCAATGTGTAATCTTACTCACTGTTTTGATCAATTATTCAATGATTGTTGATTAAATATTTGCAAAGATGAATGATTGTCATTTTAATTATGTTTTCAGATTGTCGCATTGTAATGTAAGACTGAAGTATCAAAAATATAGACAGTTATTTTGAATAAATGGACAATTTGTTATGAAATTAAGAAATGTGCACGCCTAGACTCAAAGTTAATTTGCCTAACTACAATTGAGAAATAGGAAGATTTGAAGTTATATTAAAAATAATGCACTCCTTGCTCGCTGTGGTGAAAATACTGCCTAATAAACATGCCTGAATGCAAGAATTATCGAAAAGCTAGGATGTACTAAAAAGCTATTTTGTTATAGTTTGTAAAAAATTATCAATGCACATTCACGACTTCATACGAAGTGGAATACACAACTGCGAATTCTTACGGACTACATGATAAGCACTAAACTATTGAACTCGTCCTTATCTTATAACTTCAATCAATTTGTATTACATTGCGACGGTCAAGGAATGTTCATGTAAAAGCCGATAAATGGTCAAAAACAAATAGAAAAGTGTGATGACTTCTCTGACTATGGTGGTTAGAAAACAACTATACAAGTGTTAATTATGTTCCACATTAAGGTCAAGAATACGTTAAATACAGGCGAGTAGATATGTGATTAACCAACATATAGATAAACATAGACATGTATACACACTTATCTAGATCTAAAGAGCTTTCAGTGTTAAATAACATGGCAACACTTGAGAAGGAGAAATATGAGTGCACAGAATAAATTCATTTGGCCATTATAAGGACTCGATTCAGATTTTATATTCATATATAGTACATTTAAATACATTGTAAAATACAATGCTTACGCTGGAGCATAATTGCAAACAACTATATATTTTCCTTTATTTATGTTTTTATTGCACATGTGAACTCCACATCCAATATGTGTTGTGTTAATGTTTACAATCTATAATTGAAAATAACTAGTTCTTTTTACAAATATAAACTAACTTGTTTATACATAGAACAATCGTGATTCTCTCCGCATTTATCATTTTTAAAACTATAAAATCGACTTCCATCTCGCCAAACTTTGATAGCACTTGAGGAAATTAGAAGAAAATAAGTGGTAACGTATTACTGAATAAGTCTTACTATGAAACTGAATGAACTTGAGCAATATTCTGACCGACTGATTTCCATCTACACGTAGTTCTGTCAATTAAACGGCTAGGTGAGTTTTCACACTGTTCTGCATACTGTTGAGCAGTTACATGTAATCCATCATCCCATATCTACAAACAAACATTCACTGAGATAATTCTATGAATAAAAGAATGTTTGCAACATATATAAGGGATTAATTGTGGTTTGACAATTACGGAAAACTAGAATGAAGTCGGTATGTGTTCCTCTAAATTATGGTGTTCCTGAATGGAGTGTATTCATTGCACAATAGGATGTCAAACCCAGAACTTTGGGGTCTTACTGTATGCATTTCATTCCCAGACCACAGAACTGGTATCCATCGATATGAACATGTGACTTCAATGAAATGACAATGTTTAGCAACCATAATCAAATATCTTAGGTTGGTAATTGCTTCGCGCTCAATGTGGTTTAACTCCACTGGTCATGGCTTTTAACCAGAACTCCAGAGATTACCTGCGGAAATGTCAAGGGATTGTTATGGAAACTGTAGGTCTTAAGTCCGATCTCTGTAGGAGTCATGAGTTGACAACACTGAGTAATATCATACTACGACGAAACAGCTACACAGTACTTCTTGATTTTCGATTATTGTCTAACGACATCCAATTAAACATTACCCATCAACACTCTTTAGAATGAAGAAATATTTAAATGAGGTGAACTTCAGAGTGCACGTGATCCATTCTTAATAAGTCATAATATAATAACATGGTCAGATGAGCTCACAAGATCTTCAAGTTTTGTCTCAGATGGTGTACTCCAATAATAATCACATTCATTTCTCGTTTGTCTAACGTAATTATGGTGATGTAACAAAGTCCTTGCAAATTCTGTCATTTCTTCTTGGCCTCCAAGACCAGATGAGATAGAAAGTAACAATATTAACAGAAACAAAATCATTGTGTACAACGCGTGACTAAGATCTATTTTAAGGTGATCTTCCGTATTTATAGTGGAGGAAAACTATGAAAACGAGCAGAAACGCAAGTCAATTAACACTGCGACAGGTTTAAGTAAAAATAATTCACTAACTTATTGTGAATGACAGACACCATTCTTCACATAACTACGTTGGTTCCTTTGAGAAAATATTAAAGTTCCAAAAAGAAAAAGGCAAAATGCTTACCAACCGTTTTTAAAATTTACTAAGAAATGTTTTATAAGCATTTGTGAACACAATATTCGAGGTTTAATACTTTGTATGAAGTTTAAATGAATATGTCAATCAATCGAAATCAACATACTAGATGTGGCAAACGTGCTTCGTTCTGAGTTACTTACTAACAAAAGACATTAAAATACGGTACGCAAATGCATTGATTTGCAATAAACAATAATGACATTTAAAACGAGGAACCATATATGGAAATACTGAAGAAAAGCATAAAACGGAAGTGAGAAGAAAGGAGAGTACACGAATAACCAAAGGTATAAATATGACTGCGTCTTCGACTAAAACCAGATACCAGAGAATGGCGCTCACACTACTGCTTAGCATTTGCTTCATGGAAGCTGTATTCGGATTAGACGCACAGGAGGCGCAACTCATGCTGCAAGTACACAATGAACATCGAGAATACCGAAGCAAGTGTGAGGAAACGGACATAGTGCCAGCGGAGGAATTATTACAGCCTCTTGTAAGTCTGAGATGATGTGAAATCCTTGCGCGTCGGACTTGAATCTGAGCGCGTTTCCTGACATTGTTCACGAATACACGATAATTATTTTTCTATGATTTTTATGCTTGTATGAGGAGTGGGACGATGAACTGGCGGCTGCCGCTCAAATGTGGTCCGAAAACTGTGATGTTCACGACAAGAAACCGACCGGAAAAGTTGGTAAATTTGACTCCGTGGGTCGAAACACCGCTGTACAATCCGAATTGGCAGAGTAGGTTTCCCGAATGTAAGATTGTTATGATTGTGCTTATTGTAGAGCTGTTACTTATTGGATGAAAGAATCGGATCACTATGACCACAACTCAGACCAATGTGAGCCACCGCATCAATGCGACAGTTACAAGCAGGTATGTGAATACATAAATTATGTGATTGAACAAAATCTCAAACTTCATTACCAATCACTGAACGAGATCTCATCACTTCGTTTCTCTCAAATACATCTAGGTAGTTCAATCAGACACGAATTACGTCGGATGTGGCTATACCAGATGTCCGGGCTATGAATATCCAGCAAACATGTTGATTGCCTGTTTCTACTCACCCGCGTAAGTCTTCATAATTTCCATCCGTCAATGCACATAGTGTTCCATCACATACTTAAGCATAATCCCGATTTTATGATTTGTTTTACATTGAGATTCAGTGGTTTCAAAGCATTCCGATGATGTGTTTTTATAAGTGTGCTTCAGTGTGATTCACTTCATGTTTATATTCAGTTGGTTCCCTAAATCTACCACGTATTTCAAATGTGGATATTCGACACTTTTCTCGCTTTTGCACAGAACCCTATCTCGCATCCAGAAGCATTTCTCAGTTTCTATTGTTTCTATTTCAGGGTGAGAAGTGGTCAACCGTACACTGACGGAAAGATCGGAAGATGCAAAATTCCGAATAAGATGGAGGGTTCGAGGAAGTAGAAGGAGGAAGTGGAAGAGAAGTGAAGCATCAGATCAGTTGTTTTGTTATGTTTATTGACAATGTAACTAGTACTAATAATCTCAAATAAATAATGCTGCATCATGTCACACTCACTTCTCACTAATTGCTCACAAAGATATCCCTGTTAACAAGCATCTGTATAAAAGAAATCGGTGTTGAATAAGATCACTCGTGAACAGTTAAGTACAACTATCGCTGTTCCTGTAAATAAACAAGACTGTGTAGAATATGCGTAAGTGGATATTGATCGTCACTTTCACGTTCTTGCAACATAGTAGACATTGGAATCACGTTGCGAGCTGTGCTAAACACTAAGCCAAATACAAATGAGTCTTGATATTACTCTCTCCAAACCACAGTAGAGATCACAAATATTATCGACGAGATATGATCAGTTTCAACCTGTTAGCCCTTTGCACCATGGTTCAGTAAAACTAGTTATCAGCGCTACCATGAGTGGTACGATAAATATTTGGAAGTGTAGGTGGTGAACCAATGTTCAATGTGCTTCCGGCAATGTGGATTTTGATGTAGAGGTATCAAAGTGGTTTGTTGTCAATGTATACTTGGAGCTTGCTATTATTAGATAAATGCATTAATCCAGTGCAGCTCTCTTTCCAAAGCATAGTTGCCTGCTATCATCCAGTGATTACAAGTACTCTTCACACACAAGCACATACAGTGACATTTAACTAGCCACAACAGTGATTCCTAGGTAAACGTAACCTCTACCTTCATCTACTAGTTTAACGTACAATATTATGATGCATGTTATTACGCTGTCAGATATAAGTTGCATAAAGCAGTGTTCGGAATTGGGTTTACTACCAACAGAGGACTGAAATGAAAAGAATGGGAGGTAAATCGTTGATTTTATCGTACAGATAAATTGTGCTAGGTTATTCCAGAGGGTCTAACCCAAGTTTATTACATCTAGAATTAAAAGTCAAGGTACAGTGAGCTCCAAGAATACGAAGTGTAAATCGTCTCTCTACTGATTCCAGCCTCAATTTATCCTTTATGCGCGCAGTGCTCTGAATCAACATGCAGTATTCTAGGAATGATCGGACACAAACTTGGCACACTGAAACACGTGACTCATTGTTATAAAGGTTTCGAGTTACGTAGCCCACAAGACGCTGAGACTTGGAAGTCCGTTTCAACATCTGTCTTGTAAACGACAAGTCGAAGGAATACTTAAGTCTACTGTTGTATGTAACCTAGATAACACTTCACCATTTGTGGTAAGATCTAAATTGAGTGATGTTTCATCGAAGCATGTCCATCCACGTTTAGCTGTATTAAGCTCCAGCTGCCATTTTGAGCACCACTATGCCACCTTGTTTTCAGTGTGCAGTCTTCAATATCGAAAGTAGTCAGGTGTGCCATGTTATAATTATAGAAATTTTAATTATTGTGCTATCTAAGAATTCCAATTTAAACCAATTAGAACAAGATGCGCATTGTTCTTACAACGCGTATTCAGGCACGCAATAAGTACGAAGAAATCATTATTTCATACAAACGCCATAACCATCACAGCCTAAATTGGAATCTAATTGTCTGTAATCGGTTGTACGTCTCTTTAGATTCATCATGTGTCTGTCAGACTCATTAGTATCAGAAATAATAACTGATGTTGGAACGCATTGATCTGGATCCTAGGATCGTATTTGATCAACATATCGGTTATGTGTACATACATCATTGATATCTAGAATTTGGATCATAGAATTTACAAGAGTTTTCATAACAAAACCAATGTTTGTTCGAAGATCGTTCTCACGATAATATGTAACATCTTTGGACTCTAAACACCTCATATTCGAACGAAGAAACCTTTCTTTTACTACCTTTGATGGAGTCCTTTTTGTTAGAGAATGTTTAGCATTTCTATCTTGCAGTGGAATCGTATGTACTACCATCATCCGTTCATCGAAAAGTTGTCCAATGTCTTATGTGCTGCTTCTCGAAGACCATAAGGAATTATTTGTCTTTTACAAAAGACTGGATCACCATGTACTTGAGGTTTCATAAGCTGGATTCTCGTCCCTTCACTGCAATTAGCACACGCAACCATCTGATCTTTAGATCAAGTATCAGATACTTCTTTGGAAACTAGTAAATACAACTGCACTTTTAACCGTCTCAAATATTTAAACCCAGTATTGACGGTCCTGTTTCACTAACTGAAAACTAGCAGATCGTGTATGAAGAATTATTATCTCCAATTAGCAAACAATTGCAGTCCGTATGAACAGATTTTGTTCAGCAACCCTCAATGTTGAAACTCCAGAGAGTCGTACCACAACACTGGAATCTGAAGACTTGAATAAAATATAGGACTCTGTACTACTTGTGACATGAAATAAACTAAGGGATGTTATATATATAATGTTTCGAATTATTTGAATTAGAGTATGAACTATGAATCCCAGAAGTAACGTAATCAGATCAAGAAGTACTATGCAAGCACAAACGAATGTAATGTATTTAGGATTCGAAATCGAGTATTCAACAAGTACAAAAGAACCATTAATTAATTCAAGCACCACATCCGCCACAGCTTAAATTGGTGTCTAGGTGTCTGTAGTTGATTGTACATCTTCTTCTTAGGTTCATCCTAAGTCTGTCCGACATTGTTTTGGATAAAAACTCTGTATTATCTAGAATACACTCATTAGTACTAGAATTAACAACTGAAATCGGAACAGACTTACCTGGGTCCTGAAATTGTATACAATCAACATGTCGATTTTGTAATGATATCATTATTATCTAGAATTCGAACCATAGATTTTCCAACACTATCCTCCCCCACGAAATAATGTTGGATCTTTATATCCCCAAGTTATGAATAATGTGGCTTCATTTAAAACATATTTCTCATATTGATAAGAGTATACATTGGAAGTGGATTTGTGATAAGGATGAACAGCAGTTGATATGAAATCATCCCAATTGTAATCAAAATCGAGGTCATTTAGTACTCGTGCTTCGCATTGAACAAGTTTCCCACAAGAAACAAATGCATTATGAGGACAAATAATATTTGGTATGACATCGAGCTTTGACTCACCTGAAATAGTTTCCTCGAATTTATTAAGAATGTCATTGTAGAGTAAGGGATCATTAGAAAAATCAACATCCACCAAAACTACATCAGGTTTTTGATCATAATTATGTTCACTCAACATATTTTCTTCGGATTTGCAAAACATTTCATCAGAAATATGTGAATCATTAGGAAAAGCCATACCTGGTAAATAGCATGAGAATTCTGACAAATTGATTGATTAAAAACCGTTGTCTCACAATAATTCTCAGTTTCATTTAACTCCGAACTGCTATATGACTCTACACTGTCTTTTGAAATCGTTGGTTAGGATAAATGATCATTAGGAACACTGGAATCATTAGAATCAGAATTACAAGACTTATATTCGTTGCACCAAGATGAATAGTAGTATTACAGACTGACTGAATATGTGGAGATATGACTGACAAGCTTATTTTGTAAATAGTTTTCAATGTTATTTCTATTTGTTTTGTCAATTTTTCACTGTATGTACATTTATCATTAAATGACTGTACGTGTTGTTTTAGTCAATGACCTTGAACACTTTTTCCGTTGTAATTCGAACATAGCGTGACATATACTTACTGGCTAACAAATACATTACTACTCACACATCCCTCGTTCTATTTCCATTTGTGATTGAATTAGCGGAATTCTAAATCAAATATTATCATTATTTATAGACTGTAATTGGAATACATCACATTCTACGTGGGATTATATCACCAGAGAGTTCGCCAACCGGCTTGGAATTATCAAACATTTATAATTGTGGATTTACATTACCGGACCTAATCAGAACACGCAGCGTTTGGTCAATTTAAGTAACGTCCCTAATTTTTATTGTATTTGTAACAATTAACTGTATATATATTAATATTACTATTGATCTTTAGTAACTTTGTTTATACTTTTTGCGTTCATATTTGTCTGGTCCACCACAATTATTTGGTGAGCCTCGATTATTTTTTTATATAGACATATACTATATATATCTACATAATTTTTTTATTATTATTAATCGGCACGACACCATATTTTTGTTTTTGTCATTATGAACTCTCCGGATAAACTTATTGATATTGATAGTTCTCCGACCAACCTTCTAAACTCTCCACAACCAGAGGATAATGTTTTAAACTCAATCAACGCTATCTCGGAACTAAGACTACCAACGTACGGTGTTAATAATCCCAGGATCTGGTTTGCACAGGTTGAGGCATTATTTTTGTCGAGAGGTATACGCTCACAAGCGACAAAATATGCATACATCGTTGAAGCATTACCCATAGAGGTGGCAGCAGAAGTCGGAGACCTGATAGATAACGTACCAGAAACGGACGCCTATGACAAAATAAAAGCCGCAGTAATCCACCGTACTTCGCAGTCTGATGAAAAACGCTTACAGCAACTACTCACCGCATGCGAGTTAGGGGACAAAAGACCTTCACAGTTGCTTAGACATATGAGAAAAACTAGCAGGTTCATGCAAGTTAGACGAAGCATTACTTAAGCAGATGTGGTCACAAAGGTTACCTTATAGCGTCAGACAAATTCTCAGCGTATCAGGAGCCTCTGTCAGTCTTGATGATTTAGCAGACATGGCCGATAGGATGATAGAAATATATCCAGATAGTCGGGGAATTTACGCAGTACAACCCGCCAGTAGAGACGCTATGAACCCTACTCTTGACATGCAGCATCAAATGGCACACTTAACACGTCAGCTAGCATCACTGCAGGCGACTATCTCCACCATCCATTCTCGACGCCCCAGATCTATGTCCAGAAGGAGATCATTATCCAGACATCGTCTTAAGTCACCTAAGCGGGCAGGTAGAATGTGTTGGTATCATTCGAATTATGGCGAGAAAGCACGTCGTTGCACAAAACCGTGCAACTTCACGACAAGCAAGTCAGACCACC